GTCCACATCTGACACAAGTTTGCGAACACTTTTCAACCATTAATTTGCAAATGCAAAAGTCACACAGCTCCTAAGAAAGTGTGTAGCCTTCGCACATCTCCTGGGGATCTGTGCTTTATTAGTGAAAGGTTTAAACCCAGTGCATTCCCCATGAAAAAACCTCTCTCCCCTTCCTCCTCCTTCCTCCTGTCCACATCTAAATGCAGAATCCCCAGCTTCCTTGTCTTCAGTTTACAGATTATGTGATCCAAAGTGTCACTCACTGGATTACTGCACATAACCTGAGCGCTACCCGAAGCTTACTTGTCTTCAACTTGTCCAGCATTACTTAAATGGAATTATCCGTCACAATCCATACACCGAATCTGCATAGCCCACTTATCTCAAGATTCTGTGTGTCACCTACCAGATTATCCGTTTTAATCCATACATTGAATCTACATAACATATGTCTTTAATTCATGGGCTCTGATGAGCTATAGTATCGCTGAATGGATTATTTCTCTTTATCCATTATTGGCAGTCGTAAGACCGTTCACTGCATACTCTCTCATGCCCCATCTTCCGAACATATAAGCAAGATTAAGAGTCTTCAGCAAACACAGCTCTATCACACATCAAACACAGCTCGGTATAATACCTGCACCGATACTTCGTGTAACTTGGAACCCAGTTTCTCACACAAAACAAATGCCTGTGTTATCATGCATTAAAGATTACGATTGGTAGGCTAATCTGGCTTTCAATTACACTCACAAATCTGTGGTTACTCCAGGACAGTCTTTGGAGTCACCTAGATTTAAGTGGCTATACCGAAGAGCTGAATTTACCCTAATGATGATCCCTTTCACAGTGAGTGCAGAAAACACTTCACCTGAGTGCTTTAGGAACTAACCGGTACAATAGAGAAGGGTTTTCAAACAACAAAAAAATATCAGGTTCAGGCTTGCCCGGTCCTTCTTGAAAGATTCAGGTGCGATCACTGTTAACAATGCTGTCACTTCAACAGAAAACCAACTCAGAAAGATTAGAAACAAAAGTCCGTTTCGCCTTTTGTTCCACACGCCTATTCAAAATTAGCTAAGTGGGGAACATATAAAATATGTATTATTATTTCTTGACAACTCTCGATAAGCAAGAGATGGACGAGATTAGCAGAAAGGCTTTGTGTACACCCGGGAAGTTTTAAAGAGAGTTCTCATCACGGTTAAAGCTGCCTGGCTCACATCAGCGTCAGGAAGACTGGGCACCTCGTGATGTACCCAGCCACCTGGGGGGCCAGCACCGCCCCCTGAAGTCTGCTCAGAAGAGGCCCAACACCAGTCAAACAGAAGTTTCAGGTTCATTTTCTAAGTAGAGGGATGGCCACTGACATTGAAGAGAGTGGAAATAAACAACTTACAGCTTTTCTTACCAATGGTCTGCCCTATGTGCTGCGCCTGCTTGCAGTCGGCACTGTGGCTTTGGAGGAAGGCAACCACCCTCACCCCGCCTGATAGACAGGTATCAGGCGGCTATGCTGGGAGCGGGAAGGGGCGTTATCCTCCTCCCTGCAGGTGATGGGTTTGAGACCTGAAGTTCTCGCTGCTCCACTGAATGCAATAAGCTGCATTATCCGTGAATAATCCAGAGGCCTTTTGAGCCCTGCTCTTGAATATGATGGATATAAGTAAGTTTGAGCAGGCTTTAACCAAGTCAAGATATAGTTTTACAGCTTTATTTTAAAATATTTCCATTTAACAGCATGTTTTGTGGGGTTTACGGTAGACTGATGTGTTTCGAACAGAGTAAAAATTCCATGGATTTCAAAACACAATTTCTGAAGAAACCTCCAGTGCCAAACTTGTGTTATTTATCTAGGCCCACGGTACCTCTCTAAACACAGGCATTTGAGCTAAAATTTCTACAGATATGACAGGTTCTAGCTTTTGCCCCATTTCAAGAGTACTCCCTTGCAGTCAGTACCTTTCAGTCAAGCCCTGGAACAGAATATTACATTTCTTTTTCCATTAGTAACCAGACATATGTAAATCCTCCTAACTGTGATCTTGAAGTTTGCAGCTAGACCTCTGCGGATACTCAGTGGCGGTTCTCCCGTTTTGCAGGCAGGCAGATGAAGAAAGGGGCGCTTAAAGTAGCTGCCGAAAGTAACCAAGCAAGTTGGAGGAACGACTGAATGCAAAACGCGGGAGTCTGGTGACTTCCAGCCATTCACCGACTCCTCTGTCTTTAATAAAATATTACTGCTTTCTAACTTAAAAGAAATAACACTAATAGAAAATAAAGTCTTCCGCTTCATCTCCCTTTCTTTTAATCTCTCCCAGAGAATAAAACTCAATAGTAGTAACACAGACTTGGGCATTAACAATATGTAGCCTAGCGCTGAGACTTGAGCACATGACGTACTAAAACTCCCCCAGATCTAATGAAAAACACAATGAAATTTTGAACAGTTAAATGGAAAAAACTATTCAGTGCATAAGACAGTTGGGCAGTACAGCTTCTAGTGCTGTCCACATTCCAGGGTGTATTAATAATAAGACACTACTTGTGCAGGGTTTCCAAATATCGCTAATAGAGAAACGAGGAAAAAAAATGCAGCTGCCAAGCCAAATATAGAGAGAAGTTAATTAAAAAATCACAACTGGAAAACTTAATAACTCTACGCTCCTACAGAAGGACAAAACCCTCTCCTAGCGTAATATTTGCACACGCATACGCCAGTATAAAACAGCTCAACTTGCACACCTTTCATGTCGCCTCACTAAATACAGCTGCAATACAGCTGAGCCATTGTTTGTTGGCCGCTCATGGCTGGCGGTGCCATGAAAACCGCATTCCTGGGCACTAAATAATCGGCCTGCCTGACCCCCCAAGAACCTGTAAGTCAAATTCATTTACCCCCAGAGGGCAATGCTCTATTGTATCCTCCCTCCTTTCCAGCCACCTAGGAACAATGGACAATAATTGCAACTGTCACGGCAGTCAGTAGGAAAAATAAACCAGTGCCTGTTTTCACAGCTTACTGCCAAACCTGATCCAAACACCTAATAACCATGCCCCCAACCATAGAACCACAGTCGCACTAAAAAGCCTCAGATGTGAGGCTTTTGAACAGAGCTACAGAACAATAACTCGACTTGTGTTCAAAATATGAAGCTAAAAAACAAAAATTAAAGCAAAGAAAACTCTTCTTTGAGGCTCCCCATCCTCCCCCCGGGCAAGACTGAAAGGACTGTTGAATTTCTTTCGTGCTAGCATATTGCCCTCCAACAGAACAAGATCATAAGGACTGGGAACAGACCGCCTTCTCAACGCACAGCACTTCTCACAGCAGCTTCCCCGAGTCCAAAGGCGGAGGAGAAAGGCCGGGAGTCCTTCCCAAGGCTCCAGCCCACCAAGAGTTAAAGGGGCTCCAGACAACATGCAAGAGCTGCCGAAATACACACCCAAAAGGGGATATGAAAGCCACCTGTGTACTTTGGGCCTGAGACATCTTAAAGATTCATCAGTTCATGGCAGACGATGATGTTATTTTAAAACAATACGCTTTTAAAAAGCAGTGCTCACAGATAAGCCCAGTGGCTGCCCTACCCTCTTTACGGCCTGTTGCTTTACGCGCACAGAGGCAACGTGCTCAGTGGGAATAAAGAACCCAGGGTTTGGCCCTCTGTTATAATAATAACAAGATCGCAGCCTATTTGGGGCCGAAGCACTATATTCTGTTTGAAAGTTATTCTACACGTGTAACGAATATGTATTTTTGAATTACAGCCTCTTAGGGAGAAGCTAGGGGAAGCAAGTGGCATACTTTCCTACTTGTGTAAGTCGTTGGACCCGTGCAAACTAATGCCGGTGGCTTATCGGTGACAAGCTGGAAGGCACATATAATTAAAAACAACGCTATCTTTGCACATGTGCCGATACATTAACCTCTCGGAGCACGTCACGCTGTATTCTTTACTGAACACTGCCCACCTCTTGTGCAGAAGGTCCTTAAACCTGTCAGGCACGAGGTCTGCGAGCCTGCCTGAACGAGGATCTGGGTATCAGGGACAACATTTGTAAGCAAACACACCAAAAATAACGGAGAGAAATGAAATCTAGTTTATAATCGTAAAAGAAGGGTTTAATTTTAATCTCATTCTACTTTCACATTTCCAAAACAACATTGGCTTTGATTTTCCTACTCCAGATGTACACTGATATAAATGGGAGAAGAATCGGAGTCACTGTTTCTTTTCAGAGTGGTAATGGCTGCTCTGGAAACTAAAATTTTTGACACAGATGTATTTTGAGTCGGCTCCTCATCACAATCACTGACGAAGAATTGTAAAAATATTAAATTACATGAAAACAAACAACTACAGGTTCCCTAAAATGACCTCACATATATAAAATGGGGAAATATCTTGGCAAAGCAGAAGCTACTGCTGCTGGAGAGTGGTCAAATTTTGTCATTTTCCTTCTGGAGTACGGCTTTAAAAGAACATGCTTTAGTGCACAGATGTTGTACGCTGTCTTTTAAAATCTGCACTGGCTAATTTTGGTACCTAGAGGTATCATTACACAAACTTTGCTCTTTTTTTTTTCCTACACACAGAAAAGTCAAAAAAATTCTACACCATCAAAATCTGTCCAAAAATTAACAAGGACTCCTGATCACCCTCAGATTTCAGAAGCTGAGCTCTGCTATGCTCTGACACCACATAAGCCTGTGTTTGGTATGTGAACTGACTTTTTTTTTTCCAATCCAGCAAGAGGATGTGCCCTCTTACAACACAGAACGATATATGTGACAAAAGCTTTATGTAAGTTTGTTCACTTACCATTTCGTTTATTCACATTATCACAGATGGAGAGCGTACGTTTCATTTAAGCCCCAAATTACGATGTTTTGAGGAGAGGGGAAGAGGAGCAAACAAACAAAAGTTCCATAAAGCCAATGATACCTGTATATTCATTCTCAATTTTTTGTTTTAGCACAGAAACAGCGTTACCTTTTATTTCTCCAAAGTTCCCTGATCCCATGGCAAGAAGCTTGTCTTTCCAGTCCTTTGATAGTAGCTTTTCAATACTGGGAGTTTCTGAGTGAAGGGGGGGAAAAAAAATGTAAGCAAATCAACATGACTGTCTCCACAATAGAACTCATTAAAAGTCTATCTGCTAAAAATAAGGCCAACCCTATTCTGGGCCCCAGTTCGTAATGACTTCATCAACAAACTGATAAGAGGGGAGGGAAAAAAAAAGGGGGGGGGGGGGAAAGAATGTGCTTTGTCACCTGCTGTTTCAAAACCATTAGCTTTTTCCTCTTGTGGAACAAAGCCCCGGTAATTCTGTACCACAATGGGCACATATAAACCTGCAGTTCATTGTTTTTCAATTTGGTGAACAAGTTGCTGCCTATAATGGATGCCTGTCAATTTCTGGGTGTTAGTCTGCAGTCAAAAAATAATTATGTTGATAAAATGCAGAGTAAAGAGAGTGAGAGAGAGAGAGAGAGGCAAAGAATTAGCTCCTAAATCTGCTACATGTAATTATATCCCTCTGAGTGTTTACAATTACATCCACTTTATAATGTGTGTTTAAACATCGTGTGGTGGTAAGCATACTGTGGAAAGATTTTCCGGTAACAGGCACATTATAAATAATAATAAAAAGTTGGGTATGAAAAAAAGCTTTAAAAGATTGCAAAATCCAGAGGGAGAAAAGGCATTGCTTAGAATGGAAACCCATTATTTGCTCATTTCAGATTCTATCACTTCCTTTAAAAATAAAATAAAATAAAATATATTTCTTCGGTATTTTCAGGAAAAATGCGGCGAGGGTGTGGATGGGTCTGATATTTATGTCTGTAACTCTTGTATTCTGACCTCTTTTTGTGTAGAATTTTAATGCATAAGTAAATATAAATGCTAATAAAATTCAGAGAACATTAAATTCAATTCCAAACAATGTAATTGTATATTCTTGTCAGCATTTAGATGGGTACACAATTACAATAGCTTTCAATCCCACGATTAGCACTGCATTCAGTTAGAAAATGGAGTGTACTAAAAGATAAGTGTCCCAGTATGCGCCATCTAAATAACAATACCCACACTTATTATCTGGATCTAAGACATATACCGCTATTCTCCACATTTGTGTTTATGTGTATTTGTATTTGTTCAGGCATTTGTTTACCCCCTACCAGGAGCATAAAGGGAGTACATGTTAACTTATCAAAGGGACCGTCTGGCCTAGAGACCGTGCAATTATTAGCAACTGGTTAATTTTCCCCACAGTAAAAACCATTACGAGCAACCTTCATTATCTCGTTTGGCTAATTCTGCCTCCTTTCTTGAAGCCCCAGCTCACAGCTCCGAGGAGCGGTGCGGGGCTGCCCTGCCCGGGCCCGGCT